ATGGGCAAATAGCAGGAGTTTCAAAGTTATTGTGATATAAGAACATTTATTCGGTTTTTAACCCCCTCTTCTATCATCATCTTCCATTAAGAGTCAACCCCCCACGTAAAGAACAAATATTTTATGAATATAACTTTCAGAATCTTCTCAAACTAATTATTGTGTATTTTAATTTTTTTTACCAATTATTTACAACACGGTAAAGAAGACTGTATATCATGTAAAGAAGGAGGTAGAGGATTCTCCAATCCAACAACGTCTTCTAGAAGATTCTCCAATCCAACAACGTCTTCTAGAGGATTCTTCAATCCAACAACGTCTTCTAGAAGATTCTCCAATCCAACAACGTCTTCTAGAGGATTCTTCAATCCAACAACGTCTTCTAGAGGATTCTCCAATCCAACAACGTCTTCTAGAGGATTCTCCAATCCAACAACGTCTTCTAGAGGATTCTCCAATCCAACAACGTCTTCTAGAGGATTCTTCAATCCAACAACGTCTTCTAGAGGATTCTTCAATCCAACAACGTTTTCTTATACTTTTCTTCTTTCTATAAACACCCATTTGTATGTGTTTGGTCTTGATAAACCTTCCGGTTTATTTGACAATCAAAATAAACCTATTTTAAAAGATATCTAAAAATAGGCTTTGATCAAGTACGTGCATATAAGTGGAAATAAATGATCCCATATTTTCAACACTTTTAATGCTCCTTCTCCAAAAGTTTGGTTATTTTTGTAATCTGAAAATTTCAAACAGAGACATGCCTCGCACTTAAGTGTAACTACAAGCTTCCTTTCAGATCAACATATAAAGGTTTTACAATCGTCCTTCTAAATCAGTGGCAAAGCTAAAACTTAGCCATTCTGTCATTCTGTTCCAGATCTACAATCCTTTCTTCAGCAGTATACTAGCTATACGAATACAAGTCCAGGTGTCGAAACACTTAATGTATTTTTCGTTGTATAAGACGCACTTTTTTACCCCAAAATTTTATGTCAAAATCTGCTTGCGTCCTATACACCGAAGGTATGAATAATATATATACGATATACACAAGCCATGTGTAAATATATTTAAATAGGCATGCATAGTTTAGTTCAGTTGAATGTGTTATTTATAACAATAGTAGTTTTTTTTCTTTTAAAAACATAACATTTATAATGCTCCCTAAATAATAAAAAATAAATTACAGTGAAAGCAATGAAGATTTTGTGGGTTTTAAACCAAACTAAATAACAGTAAACCTTTTTTTGATTTACGGTATTTTCTTATTTTGATGTTTTGAGCTCTTTTGTGTATAAGACGCACTTTTTTACCCCAAAATTTTAAAGTATCAAATTGAATTTTTGTTCAATAAAAATCTTTCAAATGCGACTGTAGCCTTTTCCCCCCAAAACTTTGTCTTCAAAATAAGGGTCCGTCTTATACACCGGTGCGTCTTATATTCCGCAAAATAACAAACACGATGATTACTGTTTTGTTTAATTCCCTGTGGCGAGTAAAACTACCTAAATCTTATCCTAGGGTTTTGTTTAATTCCCTGTGGCGAGTAAAACTACCTAAATCTTATCCTAGGGTTTTGTTTAATTCCCTGTGGCGAGTAAAACTACCTAAATCTTATCCTAGGGTTTTGTTTAATTTCCTGTGGTGATTAAAACTACCTAAATCTTATCCTAAGGTTTTGTTTAATTTCCTGTGGCGAGTAAAACTCTCTTACGATACGTAACTGAAGTCCTTGAATGTTTGGAAATTGGTCTCTCTCCCTTTTGTTGTTGTTTGGAAATTGGTCTCTCTCCCTTTTGTTGTTGTTTGGAAATTGGTTTTCGGGAACTTCCTCCAAGTAGATTAAAATATTCAGGAATTTATGCAAAGTAAAATTTAGCGTTAACTAATTATGAGAAATTAATCACAGTATAACCTACATCGTTCAAAATATTGTACGTTCACAATCACAGTATAACCTACATTGTTCAAAATATTGTACGTTCACAATCACAGTATAACCTACATTGTTCAAAATATTGTACGTTCACAATCACAGTATAACCTACATTGTTCAAATGGTTTGAAATTTTCAAACTTCCTGATTATCTGTTCTTACGTCATGTTTTGTTCTATCTCCTCAGTGGCTTAGCAGAGCCTGAAAGGTTATAACGCTAAAATTTGGGTAGCTTTGTACTTAACAAAGGTTTAGGTTTAAAAGAATTACACGTTTAAGCACTTAAAGCTTCTTTGGTGTTTAGGTTTAAAAGAATTACACGTTTGAGCACTTAAAGCTTCTTTGGTGTTTAGGTTTAAAAGAATTACACGTTTAAGCACTAAAAGCTTCTTTGGTGTTTAGGTTTAAAAGAATTACACGTTTAAGCACTTAAAGCTTCTTTGGTGTTTAGGTTTAAAAGAATTACACGTTTAAGCACTTCAAGCTTCTTTGGTGTTTGGGTTTAAAAGAATTACACCTCTGTCTCTCTGTACCCTGTCACGGTGACAGAATGAACTTGAATGAGTCACGAAGTTGGTGCCAGGTAATAACATATGATTATTAAGAAGTGAATGTAAAAGAAATCTCAGGTTAAAACTTTCAGAATAATCTTGGTAGGAATGAAGTAAGTAAAGATATTTTTACATTTCTCTAATACTGTCTGACCTTACTTGCCCTAACACCCACAACCTGGTCCACCCTAGAAAACTGTTCCAAAACACAAAACAAATATGATAAATACAACTTCTAACCAATTAAAAAACACCGAACAAATATGATAAATAAAAATGCTAACCAATTAAAAAACACCAAACAAATATGATAAGTAAAAATTCTAACCAATTAAGATAACACCAAACAACTACGATAAATAAAAAAAGGTGGTATAATTTCACATTTTCTGTCTCTGGACCGAACGCCAGAAGAAAGTCGTACAATAAGGATTTAACGAAGAAGGTGTGAAGTAGATGACTGACGAATGGCACGTGCTTCAACTTCTAACCAATTTTTTATTTATCGTATTTGTTTGGTGTTTTTTAATTGCTTAGAATTTTTATTTATCATATTTGTTTGGTGTTTTTTAATTGGTTAGAATTTTTATTTATCGTATTTGTTTGGTGTTATTTTAATTGGTTAGAAGTTGTATTTATCATATTTGTTTGGTGTTATTTTAATTGGTTAGAAGTTGTATTTATCATATTTGTTTGGTGTTTTTTAATTGGTTAGAATTTTTATTTATCATATTTGTTTGGTGTTATTTTATATGGTTAGAATTTTTATTTATCATATTTGTTTGGTGTTTTTTAATTGGGTAGAATTTATATTTATCATATTTGTTTGGTGTTTTTTAATTGGTTAGCATTTTTATTTATCATATTTGTTTGGTGTTTTTTAATTGGTTAGCATTTTTATTTATCATATTTGTTTGGTGTTTTTTAATTGGTTAGAAGAACATTCTTTATTACCTTATTCAATCACCTTCTTATTTTTACAAAAAGTAAAATCTAAATACATAATGTATTACCATGAACGGAACAAGCGCTTTTGGAAAAAAGTTCCATATTTTTTTTAACGTCTATGTGTTTTTCAAGAGATATTAAATTTTAACTTTTAAAAATTCCTTCTACTGACTTCTGATGTTTCAAATTAAAATAGTTTACAAAAGGGGAAATATTTCTACCTGTTTTTGACACAAGACAGTTTAAGACTATTTTCAATTTTGTGACATAACAATATTTGAATTGCATTGAAAACTTCATAATTTTAATGAAACCAGCAAGTATCCAGAGAAGTACCCATAGTAACTGATGGTTGACAAGACTTACAAGCAAATCGCGTATGTTTTACGAAACTAGAGTTTACGTGACTTAACAGCGAAATAATTGGCGCCCATTTCTTAAACATCCTGCGAGCATTTCATTGGTACACAAACATTTGAAAAATATGCTTTACTATAGTGAAGTGTAATTGAAAATAAAAACTTAGGGTTACTGTGGGCTACAAAAATTATCACAAAATACAAAAAACATTAATATTCACACACATTTCTATAGACTACATTACTGAAACCATTTAATTACTTCTTCTGTAAACATTTTTACAGAGACATGTAATTTTTTGAGGAAATAATTAATCAATGATTGCTGGTCTTATTACCTAATAAGGCTTAACACCAACTAACTAGTCTAATTAATTTGAATTAATTTTCGTAATAGATATATGTACATAATACTTAGAAAGTTTCTGTGGTCTAATAAATTATAACACACTGTCTCAGTTTCACTTTTCAAAGAAAACTTTGAAAATGAACAAGATATCTGCATAAATTAAAAAAATTTATAAACAATACAGCTTTTACACATCAAACGTTTTCTTAACTTTATGTGAGCAATTTTTGGAAGAGTCTGTACAAACACAGTAAATAAAAAACATTTCACTAAAATGAAGTATTAGTTGTCAAACTCGTGGAAGGGTTAGAGCTTTTGTTATTTAAGTAATTCAAATACTGATCCAAGTTACTTGATCATTTTGGAGATTATTGAGGTTTAAAAATTAGCAAGATCTATTAATATATCTATCTGGATATTTCTATTATTTCAGACCAATTCGTTTCAGTAAATATATCTATCCACACGAAAATGGTTAAGAACTGGTTTAATCGGGCGTATGATACTCATTGTAGTCAATCAGTTTCATTCGTAGGTTTTGGTTTCAGTATTGTTAACAACAACTGTTAACCCAACACGTCTTTTATCAAACTGCTGTACTGAAACTTGATCAACAAAATATATCTGAAAACAAGATATTTAGGCTTTTGTATTTACATTAGCAGCTTGGAAGAGTTCGAAAATATAATACTTATTAAAATGATAATAATCAGTCTCTAAAAAATTAAAATATGTAAATTTTACACGAACAGTAAAACAAATACATATCTATTAATAACCTTCTCTATCGAAATAAATACTATTTTATGTATCAAATTAAACTCATCAAAAAACATTTACGGACTTAGTCGCTACGCCGTTGAGTCTTTTGGAGCCCTCGTTAAGCGATTGGCCATGTCTGCTACAATCTCCTTAAATATCATAGGATCAATGTTTTGACCGAGCATGTAAATTAGGAACCAGTCTCCCAGTGATCCCCTTCGGACCACCGTGTGGAGGTGGTCAAGATGGACGGTCCGGAAGCGTAAATTTAGATAATAAACCCTGACGGGAGGACAGACAACAAGAATGATTCGACTCACCAGGACCATGCCGGTCATCGCTGCAAGGACGATGAACCAGAACCACAAGAATATGTAGATCTTCTCATTAACTATGTTTAGAGGAAGAAGGCACATAGCATCGTGAGTCTCGAGGTTTCCAGAGGCACCGTATTTAAATAATTTACACTTAGCCACGCGAGGAAAAATCCGGATCATGGGATCCAGACGATCTTCTTGATCCATTTCGGAGAACCGGATCACTTCCAGACCATAAGTTAAAAACTCGCCATCAAAAAACTTATCCATGAGAAACATTTGACCAACAACATTGGCAAAGGCCAGGGTTTCACAGATGAAGTAACGAGCAGCATACCAATCGTGGTGGCGCTGGCTGGAGGCCAGATAATCAACCAGAAGCTTCTTCTTTTGTTTCTTTTCTGCCTCTCCACACATTCCGACGTCCAGATCCATCATCAGAGCCTGGATTTTTCCCCCTTCCCACAGCTTCCATAGCCAGCGTGGAATGTAGAACAGAGCAGCTTGAAAGAACAGCATGAAACACACCCATTGGTAATACTTATGATACTTCAGTTTATCTGTGGATTCAGTGTTCGATCCTATTCCCGGATAGGGAATTTCCTTCCCCACCTTCTTGTTATAGGTATTGGGCATTGAGAAAGTGGTGTGAATCCAACAATATGTGTTTACGTAGGACTCCGTAACCTCTCGGCTTTTCAGGCAGTCAATGGGATCTCCAACAAATTGTTTCATAGACACTACAATGGTGAACATCAACAATACAATCACGGTAATGGTGTAATGGAGTCGAAATACAGTGTTGTCGATCCTGACTCGGCTGGTCTTCAGTAAGCTCTTTAAACTCCGTATGACATCCAACATGGCGACAGATTCTTAGCTTTCTACAGAGGCACATAAGGGCCAAAGAACGAAAACTTTACTACAAAGATATGACCAATGTAAATATATATATATTTGTTTTTTGTATTCCAGTTTATAGTTGGACACATTTTGATATAAAATGGTCTTCCCTGCTATATCATCTCGTGCCTTTGCCGTTTGGTCAATATCAAATGCTCTTCTGGAAATTGAAACAGTTGTAGTGTTTAAAAACAGTAGAAGATTAATAACCAAGTTAAATGAAACTTGTCGCGGGTCTTCTTCTTCTGTAGTAATAACAGTTCAATAAAGTTCGCTAGTTTTTTGTGTTTTTTTTTTCACACATTAGTTTACTGCCAATACCACAAAACATCGACCCTTATGGACATCCGAATAATTGGAAAAAAATCTGAAATGGCGAACACAAGAAACTATTTTACAAGTTGCTGGTTATCAGAATAATAGAGAAAAAGTCTGAAATGGCGAACACAAGTAGCTCAATCATACAAGTATTAAGTATCATATAACAACTGCGTTCAACATAAGAAGTTGAGAATCCCCAAAACTCCTAAAATGGCGAACACAAAAGACACAGTTTCCTTATCTTTTAAACATCGGAACGATAATAAAAAATTACTGTAATGGCGAACACCAGAAGCTTTTTCACACACACACAAGTCTTTCGTCTGAATAATTATAATTATCCTGTAGCGGAATGATGCGTGAATAATTGACACTTATTAACACTAAAACAAACAAAAAACGATGTCTATTTCAATCGGTGGATCTTACTTGTGCACGTGGCATGACATTTTGTGAAACAAAACCACCAGGATAAACACTACCGTAAACAGTGCTCTACTCTGAGAAAGACAGGAAACTCCTAAGATAATGGCGTGGGGTGCTCTCTACTCGAGTCGGTTCTATATTTAGTTTAGAGAAGTAACTGGCTCCATCTTAATCCTGAGGGCGTTCCTTTGTGTTTAGTTGTTACACCAAACTTCTTGTGTTTAACCTCACGACAACCAGCTATTCAGGAAACAAACCCCGGATGTAAACGTAATGACTCTTTCTGCTCGTAAAAGCTACTGGAAGCGACTACGAAAAACGTTTGGAAAATGCGATATATATATATATATATATAAAGAAAACACTTCATTCGACACTTTTCTTTCTAGACACACTACTGTTTAAGGTTGCGATACTAACGCCCTCTATGGTTGGTAGATTTTGCAGCAAGAAGTGCTAAGTTGATGTTTCTGAGATAGGAGGCGCTCAGTCTACGTCCATCTTAGGTTTTTTTAAAACAGTTTTCATCTTCGTTTGAATCCATCTTAAACGATTGAAATGTCCACAGTACATAAAGAACGTTATC